TTTTTTTTTTTTTTTTTTTTTTTTTTTTTTTTTTTTGTCCATTCTAATCATTCAATCAATCCGCTCATCCTCATTATGTTTCTTCCCTCATCTGACCGGTAGAGGTCGCAGCCGAGTAGCAGTTGAGTGGACGGGAACGCATGGATGCGTAAAGAGCATTAGAGCGCTCCCACATGACGAAGCTTCAGAGCGTCTGGAAAGCTGGAAGGGAGAGCGGGCGCTTTGGGAGCGACCGCTGACAATTTCATTCCTGCATCTTTACCTGCAGCGCAGCCCGGCTCGGTTCGGCTCCAACAACTTCTCTAACTGTCCTGCTTCTTAGTTTCTGAGACCAGTGTGGCGGCGACGCTCCCATCATTTCCTCCATCTCCCTAAGTGAACTTTATAGGGATGTTAGATATCGTGCAGCATCATTGTGCTGATTGTCCATGTAGTGCAGAAGTATCTGTAGAACGGATATAGAAACTGAAGGTCTGGAGAGAATCCTTTTTCTTCCACTTGTACTTTTTGCCCGGTTTGACACACAACACAGAAGGGTGAGAGACTGCGTGTGCGTGTGTGCGTGTGTGTGTGTGCGCGTGTGTGTGAGAGTGCAGGAGAGAGAGACATTGCAGTTTTTTTTTTTCCTTTGGAGCTACGCTTTCATGCCGTCAGTTTTGCGCTCTTTGAGATGGACGTAAGATTTTATCCAGCTCCCCCTTCCAGCGTGGGTTCATGTACGTTACCGACTGACTCCGGGCTGGACTATTATCATTCCAACAAGGTAAACAATTAACTCTACTAAAGTCGACTGAGATGTGTCAGTTTCAAGTGCAAGCGCGCAAACGTGCATTGGTTACACATGGCTGTGTAATAAGGCACTGGGCATTGAGGTTGGGCATGCGCTGCACTTTTGTTTCCCAGGGGATAAACATGCCATGAATCCGCAGGCTGCCGCCAGCTTTTATTAAACTTTTTTTTTTTTTTCCATTTCATATTTGCTGTCATTGACACCTGCTCTGAGATCGCGCTCATGCATTTTTCTTCATTTGCAGTTTGTTTTAATGTCGTCTTTAGTATGTCACTGTTGTGCCATGGAAGCAGAGTTGGAGCGCACCGCTCGCTTTCAGGCACTGCTTCTCTGATCAAACTGAACAAAACACTGGATGTGTGTGAAATTGCGCTTCAACGGATATTATTTAGCTTGCAAACTTCCCTGAATGATTATAACTTATCTCACTCCGTTGCTTAAATTATACTCATATCTGCCACGAACGAGTTCGCAGATGGCAATGATTTGCGTACAGTAATAAACAGTTACCAACATTTCGAAACGTGGTATTTTTTTATTTATTTTGTCGCATCTGAGCCGTATGAAGAGACCCAAGGTTACAGCTGCACGGCTTCTTTTTAAGCTGAAATCTATTAGCACATTCTTGCATATGTGGTTATTAGAACTTTAGCAGAACAAACAAAAACAAAACATTTGCGCGCAGTGGTTAATTTTTTTTAGAGACAGTCCAATTTAAGCGACCAACACTGAGATGTTTACGTCAACATTTTCCTTTCAAATCAAGCTTTTGTATTTATGTTGTCAACAATTTCAAAACGTCTCAAAATAAACAGGTTTTACACAAGATATTCAACTTGCGCTCAAGAATAATGATTTTTCCTCTATAAAAAAAGTTATATTCATTTTCCCTAGGTCCTTTTCTGAATTTTTTTTCTGATTGTATAGTTTGTGAAACTAAATAATTTGCTTATTATTATCCATCATATACAAAAAACAAACATGCATGCACACCAAACCCAGAAGTAAAAGTTACTTAAAGGCTCCTTCAATTTTTGTGGTCAAGGTAAAACTTGTGCAAACAGTTATTAGACAATATTCTGGGGAGAGATAGCCACAGCCATTCATAAGAATTTGCTTGCCCTAGGACCTGGGGGGAAGCCAGCAGTTAACATTTGCTGATGACAAGGTGATACATGTGAAACATTATAGGACAGTGCAATATTTGGATTGTTAATCTCCCCTGTTCATACACACGGTCACCTGCCTGGATACATACAGTTGCATTCTGTCATCCACACACAAACACTCATGGTGAAAAGGTTTTTGATTGCTTTACAAACTTTTATGAATCCATTACTAACACTTCCTCACCATCTATAATGCCAACCTCAGTCATTAAATAGCAATATAAATCTACCCTTCACTGTGATAAAACATCAACATTTATTTTAATGGTTGGGACCTGAATAAATGTTTGACTTATTTTTAAATTTCAACATTCAGGCGGGTTTATCCGAGTAAATGTGGAAGGCATGTTCTTAAAGTAGTCATGCACAGTCTAGCAGCAGATATAGTGTCTTGCAAAGTGTCAATACTTGTGGAACCTTTTCACATTTTGTGACATAGCAACTAAAAAAAATTATTGCATTGGAATTATATGTGATAATATATCACATATATATTGTGTTATATAATATATATGTGACATATATTATATAACACAATATATATGACATATATATTGTATATATATGTGTGTGTGTGTGTGTGTACCAGTGTATTCTAGTCTACACTGGTGAGGGAATGAAAATTATATGCATATTTTTCAGTTTTTTACTAAATAAATCTGAAAAGTGTGGCCTGTTTTTGTATTTACTTTCTGAATATTTGTATTCAAGCTTTGGCATAAATTCTGTTTTAGATTAGGATCTAGGCCAGGCAGTTGAGGGACTGACTGCATGTTTAAGGTCGTGGTCCTGCTACAAGATAAAACTATGACCCACTCACAGGAAAACATGTATCGTATAACAGGTTTTCCTCCTGGATTGACTTTTACTTGGCTTTATTTACTGTTCCTTCAACGCTGACTAGTTTTCTTGTCCCTGCTGGAGAAAAGCACCACAAAGGGTGATGTTGTCATCCAACTTGTGTGACAGGGTGGACGGTATGTTCAGCATATAAGTTGTTGTTCTTCAACAACTGAGTTTTCCATAAAAAAAAAAGTTTCAAATTTGTCTGTATATAGCAGATTATAATTATTATTGTTTTTTTAAATACTCTGTCGGATACACTGCATTTATCAAATTACAGAAGTGAAAAAGTTTGACTTTTAACAATTTGACAGTCTTGTCACTCATCCATAGTGACTGAATTTGATAGATAGTTGACCTGTGAACAAATTCTCCTTTCTGAGCTTGTTGATCTCTCCAACTCCTCCTGAGTCACCATTGTCAGATTATTGCTCTCCTTGCACTGCCTGTCAGTATAGGTGGTGATCTATGCTTTGATAGGTTTCAGCTATGCGTTACTCATTCCATGTTTTGGTTGTGTGATTTTTAGAAGCCCAAAGCTTGGAATATTGTTTTATGATCCAAATGTTATTTACATTTCCTGACATTTCTTATATGTTCACAAAACTTGGAGAACAATGTATAATTTCCCTTCCAGTTTTTGATCTACTGCAACACAATTTACCACAAAATATATTAAAGTTTGTGCTTGTAACTTGTCTAAATGTGGAAAATTATTAATAGGTGTTGAAGCCTGGTGCTATGTAACAAGCTTTATACTTTTAACATAGTGAGCTGTCGTGGTTGTTATAATACAGCGAGGACAGAGCCCACAGAAAGACATATAGCACTGTCATGACTAAGGCAACACCAGTGACTAAGATGTAAAGTAGCACATTATTGCAACTGTACTCTTGTTATTACACATAACTTGTAAAATGATGCAGGAACTTTTTCTTCACTTATGTGGTGAATTTATTTTTGGAGCTATTCTCTTGTTAAACGTACCTCAGCTACAAGCAGGCTCGTAGCTGAGGTGGTTATAAAAATGTGTTTTTTTTTTTTTTTTTTTTAACATTTTTTTTTTTTTTTTTTGCTACATTACAACTATATGTTCACTGATGGATCGTATCTTACATCTTCATGAAAGGTAAAAACTAATAGTCCAGTTTGTCAATTCACAAATCAGGAAGTGTGCATTGTACTAACTGAAATAATCCATGTATCAGAACAGAGTCACTTCCTGTTTCTTGCTGTACAAGATCATTTTGTGGAAGACTTGAGTTGTTTGCCACCTATAAATATATGCATACGTTCATGTACTGTTTTTGAGTGTTGAAGGAGGTAGTAGGGAAAGAATGTAAAGAAAGCTGAAACCAGTTTGAGCTGATTGGCCACATTCAAGCTGATGGTTGACTGATGTGTGCCAGGAGTATGAATCACTCTGACATAATGATTGAGCACCACAAATGCAAAATGTGCAGTGAATTTTGAATAAGGCTCTGCTCACAATTGGATGTTAAAGAATCACAAAAATGAAACCACCCATTAAAAAACACAGCCATGCAATGAATTTTACTTCCATTGAAGGTATCATGTTCAGTTGCAGTAAGTGGATTGTTCTTTCAGTTGGTTAACATAGTTTCTTCAAATAAATAAGAATGGAGAAAATAGGCAACTGTATTCTGTGCTAAAAATGTTGGATTGGGAGATGTTTTTTCAGGGGTTTTTTTTTTGTGTGTTGTCTGAGCGCCTTACTCCAATATTCATAATAATATAATAACTACAACATAGAAAGTAGAAAACATGCTGCAGTTCTCTGACAGAGGTAGTAATTTTAAATTCAATAGAAAATTAAGAAACTGCAATATGTTCCTCATTTATCCATCAAAGTATTTATGTACCTAATCTTTATGGTCTTGGTCGATGTCATGCCCTGAGGTGGTGACAGGTCTTTGCTTTGTTACTATTAAAGTTGGTAAAACAGAACTTTTAGTATTTTTTTTTATATAAGAAAACCCCCAGCTTATTTGAGCTTTTTTTGCAATTACTTGGTGATTCTCTCAGTTAATTTTACGTTTGAAATTGTTGCAGGGAAAGAATGTAATACGTTGTAAATATACAGGTATTTATATTAAAAAAATAATACAATCATGGAGAGATCAAGCCTTTTCTCTTCTCATACAAACAACCTATGCATTCACTGTTCAAAGCAATGCAAAGAAAGACACATGAGAAGAGCATCGATTTGTGTATGGCTGAGAGCCCAACGGCTCTGTTGCTCTTCTCAACTCTATCCGGCTCGCATTGTCCTGCACTTGCACAATCAACCATGAGTCATCTTTACTTTTCACCCAAGATTTCTCCTAATCTTTTTGAAGCCTCTCTGTATCTTTTCTCTCACTGAGTGGGAGGCTTGTTTGCTCAGCGCACACTCAGCTGTGTATACCAGCGCTGAAGGCCACTTCTTCGCAAATGCCTGTTTTTAGCGGGAGACTATTTGTCAAATGCATTATGACTTGTGCATACCCTCGGGCAGAATCACTCTGGTGAAATGAAGTTAGATAGATTGCTGTAGATGTTCCACTTTCTCCTCGTCCCTCTCCACTCTAATTGCACAGTGCCCAAGAGAGAGCCTCTCATGTAATTACACTGTAGTTATTCTGTAGGTTTATAATCCAATGGGTTGCAGATGTTTTTCTTTGCATAGTAGCCATCTGTTCCAACTTACTTTATGTTATTTATATACCTTTGCTTGAGTTTTTATTTGAAGGACCACATCAGTGTGTTTATTTTCAGCACTGCACATCATTGCTGAAATGCAACAAATGAGTTTTAACTCTCATCTATAGATTTGATATTTTGCTTTTTCATCAGAACAGAAACAATCTGCTGATGTGTGTCCATTCAAAGGCAGCAAGGCCAACTATAGCAGAGCACGTAAAACCCCTTCCAAAGTGGTTTGTTCCATTTCAAATGCTG